ATAGTACTGTTACTGAGGCTGAATAATGCCCCAGGGGTCTTGGGTAGGAGAGAGAAAAGAAAAGAGAAACACATAAAGAACCACGTAGGAAAGTTGGAGTAGCTAACAGAGGGAGACATGATGGGTGTATGTTAGGAAGTTGGACAGAGTTCCACCAATGGCTGCTGCTCTCAGCAGCACCCTTACTTTAGTGAGTGAAGTGGGAATGGGCACGACCCTGACTGTGAGTATAATAGTAATTACCAAAGGGGGATAGCATGGTTAGGGACCTCACAATAGCACTCCTTTTGCTGCCCAAGTTCTGAATGAATTAAAAGACAGTTAACAGAGTAAGAGATAAGAAGTCAAAATTTCACCTCTATTGCTTATAAAGGCAAAGTTGGAGGGTACAGCTTATAGATGGAAGCAAATCTTCTGAACAGTGTTCTCCAGAATCAGACAGTCTCACACTTATCCAGGTTAAGGAGTGTTGGAAAATTGTAGCACCTTCTGCCCCATGGCAGGGGATAGGGCTCTGTAAAATGCACAGCAAGGAAGAGCAGAACAGCACGTGTACTCACTCACCAAAGAAGAGGAATGAGCTGAGCAATGCATGCCAAAACTGCTCAGCAAGTGAGTTTATTCCATGCTCACCAATAAGATGGGTCACATAACCTGCCCAGAGTGGAGTGAGCGAGACATGGAGAGCGGGCCAAACTGTTCTAGTAGCACAGCATCCTCTGTGTGAAAGGAAATCGAATGCATAGAAGCTTTCCTTCCTCTCCCTTCACAAGCATCTTTGTACGTTGTTGTAAAACATTACCTTCTATTGCTTGCCTGGTCTGTGCTGCACTAAAGCCAGGTACATATTTCTTTTAGGTTTTAACTGAAGAGGAAAGAACCCTATCCAGGGGGGCCTTGAGAGACATGTTGGATCAAGTGTATCAGCCCTTAGCAGTCCGGGAATTACTTATCCTCCAGGGAGGACCACCCCAGGTACTCAGGGCTGGGGATGCTTGTGGGTGAATTGCTAATGTAATGTGTGCTATGTTGTCTTCTTCTGGAAAATTAGATGGTTATAGTTCCTTATTTAGCAATTTAGTTGAGCCTTATTTCATCTTTCGGGGGTGTCCCACTCCTGCAGCCCTCAG